CAGCACGAATTAAAAAGAAATACTATATATCAATCTTTTATTAATTTAAATATTTTTTACAAAGGCTTGTTTATACAAATTGCCGTAATGTTCCACCTTCGGCATATTCCATCACAAGATAATATGTTTCATTATCTTGGTCTTCGTTCATTAAGTTTTAATAAAAATAATAATAATAAATAAATAAGGCAAAATGAAACAGATAATGCAATTATGACTACCCACAACTTATTCCATAAAACTGAATTATTCGTGGATGAATAACTCTGCTATGTAATTTTAACTAAACAATAGCATAGAAATTATTTTAATAGAAGATTAAAGAAATACAATTATGTTAAATAAAAAAAAATTATATATGAATTTCTTACTTCATTAATAAAAATTTTGATGTTTTCATAATCATCTGATGTAATAAACAGTTCTTTTATTGCAACCTTTTCTCGTGTTAAGCCATAAGTTGTTTGATAAACTGTACCATATGCACCAATTCCTATACGAACCATTTTTTCAAATTCATCAAAATGAATTTCCTTTAATTTATAATCTTTAACAGCAATCTTATACCAGTCTTTAGCAATATCCGAGCCAATTTTTGCTGTGATTTTTGTGAAAACATAGACGCGAAGTTAAAAATTAGGCTCTTAATATGAGTAAAATCATATTCTATTATTAATTTTACCTTCGCTATATGAACTAATAATACTTGACAAATTTGTATTTTGTGATGATCCAGAATCATTAACTGAAATTGAACTTAAACTATCATAGCCAGCTTTTGCATTTGGGATATTATTTTGTTGGCTTGAGGACGAGGCTTCATTGTCTTGTTTGTCAGCAATAATATCATCAAGATCGCTATCATCTGACGCTGATTCATGTTCAATTAATTCATATTCATCTTCATCTTTAGATTCAATTTCAAGTTCATCTTCAGATTCATAGTCAAAAAATTTATCCATATCATTTTTCCATTTAGTGAGAACCTTACAAATTTTTGAAGCTGATGGTCGTTTTTTTGGATCACTGTCCCAGCATTTTTTCATAAGGTCTGAATAGGATTGTATTGTTCTTCCGCTTATATTTGGTCGTAATCCATTACATACATCCAATTGAAACGTATAACTATTAAAATCGAGATAATCATTTTGATAGAAATTATACACAGACTTTCCTGAAGAAATTTCCCACATAATTATTCCAAATGAATAAATATCTGATGCTTTGGTGAATGAACCTCTCTCGAAAACTTCAGGTGCTGTATAAAATATGTTTCCCAGCAATTTATGTTTTGTCGTTGATACTTTATCGACTGATAGAGATAATGGGGAGAGTGGTATATATGCACTTGTTAAATTACTTTGTAATATGTCTTCCGACAATATACCACAATTAATAATGTTTCGTGAATGAATTAGTTGAAGGTCACGAGCTATATAATATAATAAACGTATTTTTTTTTCCCATTTCGTTTGCGCAATTAAATAAAGATTGTGTTTTAAATATCCAGCTCGTGCGTCTTGTGTAACTAAAATATAACAATTCTTAGTTTTATGTCTTGATACTCCATAACATTGAAGAAATGTTGGCCTCTCGTGTTCAATAATGAGGTGTGCATTTAGCTTTAAAGTATATATATTATAGTTTTATTAATAATATTAAAGAAGTATCAGTATGTATAAAATATCGGCGCTACTAAATCTTTACCTCATTTAAAAGTAACTCCTGAGCATCAACACCATAAAAATGTTGTGATACGTTAAGTAGGTCCAACCTAACTCTCGTTGTTCTTACCCCATGTTTATATGAACGCGTCCATTCAGAAGAATAAACGGAATTAACTGTATCTAGCATAGCGGGCTTTATTGTGATTGGCTGATTTTTGTAGATCATCGTTTTATAATAAAGTCCTATTAAAG